GTCGGTAAGAAGCTCTGCTCGCACAGGTGGGTGCCCCTGGGCAGAGGCTTTCCGCAGGAGGATGCAGCAGTTTGAGAACCAGCCTGGAGCTGGTGGGAGGTCGAGCTGGTGTCCTGCTCCATCTCAAGAAAGACATGGAAGTGCTGGAGAAAGTCCACAGAAGGGCAGTAAGGCTGGTGAAGGGTCTGGAGAACAAGTGTGCTGAGGAGCGGCTGAGGAACCTGGGGCTGTTTGGCTGGAGAAGAGGAGGCTGAGGGGAGACTTCGCTCTCTGCAGCTCCCTGACAGGAGGGGGTAGCGAGGTGGGTGTTGGTCTCATCTCAAAGTTACAGCCAGTAAGTGGAAATGGCTTCAAGTTATGCCCCGGGAGGTTTAGGTTAGACATTAGGAAAAACTTCCACACTGAAAAGATTATCAAAGACTGGAGCAGGCTGCCAGGGCAGGGGTTGAGTGGCCATCTTTGGGTGTGTTTAAAAGATGTAGATACGGTGCTCAGGGACACGGTTTAGAAGTGGGCCTGGTAGAGTTAGATAACGGTTGGACTCAAATGTCTTTTCCAACCATAATGATTCTATGATTCTGTGACTCCTGATTGTTTCACTCCTCTGTGGAATCACAAATGGACTTGGCTTTGTGGTCCTGATTTTCCTGAACTGCTGACAGCAATTGCACTGTGATGTTTAGCGTGGAGCAAGAATGGCATAAGGTGCTTGTTTGGAATTTAAAAGTACATTTTTAATACAGGAAGGAAATGCTAGAGATAACATTGAAATGTTGGCACTCTGCTTTTCCTCCTTGTGAGGTTCTCACCTTAAATCTAGGAATTTGATCACTTTTTTTTTCTTTTATGAAAACATACAGAAGCGTGATGAGAACTGGTAGCAATCACAAATGTTGTGTACGTCCAAACTGTTAAGCTTGAATCACAATCTGAAAGACAAACTACTACGTCTCCTGGTTTGCTTTTGAACAGGGAGCCGGCGTGTGGGCTGGGTGCGATGGGGACAGGGGGCAGGCTGCGGGCGTTTGATGGGTGCTGGCTGCATGTCAGGCTGGGGACAAAGGACGCACACTGAGGTGGGTGCTACTGCAGGTTGGAAAACACTCCTGGGGCTGGAAACTGGTTATTTTTCCTTTCTGACTCTTGTCAGTGGATCCAGTAAGAGATTTGCTCTCCGTGCAGAGCTGTGGAAGGGCCAGCGTGTTTCCAGGGAGTAACATCGTGGCTGTGCATGGTAAAGGAGGCCCTGGCCCATGACAGTTGCGGTGGTGTCGCTGCCGGCAGCGAGAACAGCCCCACGGCTGGCGGGTGTGGGGAGCAGGCAGCAAGTGTCCTGCCGGGAGGGAGCCCCTTGTTCCTGGCAGGGGGATCCATGCCCATGGGCGAGGGAGCAGCAACCTGTCCATGCTGGGGGAGTCCCAGGGACTAGATGATCTTTGGAGGTCCCTTCCAACCCCTAACGTTCTGTGGTTCTGTGAACTGTCGCAGCCTTGGGGATGGGACATTGGGGTTGTTTTTTTTCACTTCTTCCAGCTCTGTCATGAGCTTCTTGGTGACCTTGGCAGATCACTTGGTCTCTGTGATCTCTACGACTTCCACCATGTCCCTGGGGCTGCTCCAAGTCCAGCCGCATGAGCTGTCGCTTGAGATGTGTCGTTCCTGTGTGCAGTGGCCTTCAGACGGATGTTTGCAAAGATAAAGATGATTTCTAGCAAGGTCTGTTCCCTGCCTGTCTTGAGGGCAGCCGTTTCACAGTGAAATGCTGTCATATAAATCAGCTGAAGACCTTCTGCTTCTCCAGCAGTGGAGTCCAACCGAGTCCCAGGTCCCCAGGGCTGGTTGCAAACTCAGAACTTGTCACTCAGGGGAGGGAAGTTGCTGGTGGGGAGGGAAGGGGTCGGGATGAGACATTTGCAAACGTGTCTGAGGCTGAAAAGAGGAATTAAATTTGTAAGAGAGGGAAATAAAAGTCGTCAGCTCATTAGGCTTTGGTATCTACCTAACTAAGCTCAGTTACTCATTACGTTGCAATACCAGCTTATTTCCTTGGAGGGGAGACAGAGAATTAGTGTTCCTAAGGCAGAAAGAAAAAACAAAACAAAACAAAAAATAAAAAAATCAATAACCCTCCACTTCAGCCTGGGATGGCTGCCCCTGGGGAACATGCTGTCCCTGAAGGTTTGTTATTTTGTGCTTCTGGTGCATTCCCGGCAGAGCTGTCACTCCTTTCAATGCCAAGATCGCATCTGGCCTGGAGGCGGGGTGCACAGCGAGTCCAGAGAGCCCCTGGGCTTGCCCCTGTGTCCTCAGGGCTCACTGCAGAGTGGGGACAAGCGCTGGGAGCTGAGCCGGCTGTTCTCCTCCGCTGGGGCCAACGGTCCTGCTGCAACAGCCCAGTCCTGCCACGGGATGGGGGCCCCAGGAGAGCCCAGCTCCTTCCCCGCAACTTCCACACCCACCGTGGTGCCAGATAAAAGGAGTTGGGGGGTACGTGGGGAAGCAGAACCAACTCACTGCCCCAGCTGAGAGCAACGGATTGCCGCTGGGGGGGAGTCGGCAGGAGATGCCGATGTCGGGAGGAAAATGGGTCTGTATTCACTTTGCTGTTGCTCGTTCATTTGTGGCAAAGCAGATGCGGGCAGACAGTTATCCTGCTTCGGGGGCCCGGTGAGCGGGGCCAGGGCACTGCCAAGCACCACCTCTGTGGCTCTCCCAGTGGGTCCTGCCTTGTTTCCTGGCACCATGGAGGCCAGAAGTTCAGCCCCAGCCCGTGCTAGGGATGGAGGAGAGGTGTGAGCTCACACACACTCCATGGCAGGTGGGAGAAACCTGTGTGGAGGCAAAGCACCGATGGAACAGGTCCCTGCAGGCTGGCCAGGCTTCCTTGTCCACCCAGAGGGTTTGGGCTGGCTGTGATGAGAGCCCAGCCCCTTCCCTGCCAGGAATGGGATGGGACAGGCTCTGCCTAAACGCCTGTCTCTGCCCTGGGCTGGCCAAACCATGGGCCAGCTCTGCCCAGCCACCCCCCAGGGCCAGAGCAGCCTGGCCCCAGCCACTGCCCTCTTTG